GATAGAGAGAGTAACCAGATGAATGACAAGACGCGTGCTGGCTTGTCTTCAAATGCAAGCTGGTCATTTCGAGCATCTTTTGTAAAAGTAATTAAAACAGAAAATTCATTACATCTCGTAAACGAAGACAGATAGGACATGTATTTTTATGGCTTTTTTTCATTATTTTTAGGCGTACAATCAGCTCCCGAAGTGGGTCCCACAAGTTACGAAACAGCTTGTATAAATATATATATATATATATATTTGCTAATTATTTGATGTTTCGTGTGATTTTCATCGCGTATCGTGCAGTAAAATATTATGACACGAAATGTCAAGTGGTAGTACAAGTCCGTGAACAACAATTCGCGCTGTCGTTTCCCTAGCAGAATTCGCTGACTATTTCGCTTGACGGTTCGTCGTGCTTCGCGTAAACACCGGAACTTGAAGCTTCGCGATAATCTCCGAAATGTCAGGTTGCGATAACCTACGAGATGTCGCGAGGAAGTAAAAGTACCGATACGGCAAGCTCGAATTATTTACATAGAACTGGGAAATTACTGTTGACGTTTACTTGAAAATAGTCAAATTCCCTGGATACTTGCTCTAGATCATTGACCAGGTATATTAAATTTTAGATATTTGGTACATTGTATACTATATAATTACTATATTATATTTACTATATTAGTATATTAGTATATATTAGCATATATACTTATATTAGAATATTTAGTATATTTAATAGTATATTTAGTTCAGTATATTTAGTATATTTAATATATTTAGTTCGGTTTATTTAGTATATTTAATATATAATAGTTCAGTATATTTAGTATATTTAATATATTTAGTATATTTGGCATATTATATTAGTATATTTAGTATATTATGTTCAGTATATTTAGTATATTTAATGTATTTAGTATATTTGGCATATTATATTAGTATATTTAGCATATTTACTTATGCAATATTATATTAGTATATTTACTTTTACAATATTATATTATTATTTGGCATATTTACTTTTACAATATTATATTAGTATATTTAGTATATATAATATATTTAATATATTTAGTATATTTGTAATATTATATTAGTATATTATATTCAGAATTTATATATTATACAGTATATTATACAAAACAATTAATATGTTATATATTATACAATATACTATATTAATTGTACTATATAGTATACCATTAATGTACCTAATTGTGTACTATTAACATAGTATACAATACTATATATTAATTGTACTATAGTACAACATAATATATTGTATATATTGTATACTATTAATATATTATACATAATATAATATAATATATTGCATATAATAATATTATATACTATTAATATAGTACACAATTAACATATTATTATATAGTATATTATACTATACAATTAGTATATTTAATCTAGATACTTGACAAAATATACCACTTGTACGAAATAATCGCAACACAATGTTCCAAAGAAAGTTGCTCATTAATTACCGTTAATCACCAGTCTCCTCGCGCATCAATTTCTGAATGCTCGAATTGTTTCAAAAGTATCAAATCTGGTCGAAGTCAAAGTCGAGGACTATCGCAGGTTACGAACTGCGTCGACGACCGATTTGAGCAGACCTCCCCCTCCCCCCAGTTCCCCTCGAGTCGGATGGAAACGAAAAATGAGAAAAAAAGATAAACAAAGATAAACAAAGAGAAGAAGGAATAAAGGAGTAAACAGCCTCTGCATTGACTCGCGGGTTAGAAACGTTCTCCGAGGAGGAGAACAAAGAAGGAAGCCACCGTCAGAAGAACACAGGGAGAGAATACTACGCGAGGCGCAGCGCGAGGAGAATTTTCGCTCAGAAGCATGCGCGTCGGGGTGAATCCCGGGCTCGATTCCCTTTGCCCCATTGAAAACGTTGCTCCCTTTACTTCCTCATCACTCTCTCTCTCTCTCTCTTTCTCTCTTTATTGAGCTTTCACCCTGCGCTATTTGTCCCCTTCCAGGAGGCAGGTGGCGTCGAGCGAGAGGATAGAGCGTACCGAGGGATGCGCTGGAAACAGCGGCGACACCTAAAAGAAGGGAGGAACGGATAGATCGTCGTTCTTTTTTTCGCGAACGGAGCGATCGATCGATTCTCGCCGGGGTGGTGGGAATTAGCCGATGAAACACAAATTTGGAAGTAATCGACTTAATCTGCGATCGTGTGTTTCGCGAGAGTTTGAAAAAAAACCGAGTCGGATAAGACGAAAGCGTCTCTCGTCACGCGATCATAGGTAGAACTGCCGATGTGAATGTAGATTAAAGCGTGAACTTTCCATCATGAAAGAGAGAGAGAGAGAGAGAGAGAAAGAGAGACGTTAAAGTAAAAAGAAGAAGAAGAAAGTAGAGAAACTTTGTAATAGTATAATGGTGTGCACAAGCACTTTTGTATATTTCGTGAAAAATCATTTAAATGTTCAGAAACATGCTGTCATTACGTTATCTGTGAGATATCTAAAAACTATGAATTTTACAATTACATAATCATAAATTGTAATCATAATTATAATAAAAATATATGTCATTTTGGTCGTTTTTTTTTTTAATGATTTTATAATTATAAACTGGTCATTTTCTGACATGACCAGTTTTAGATTTTATAGTTATAAACTGGTCATTTTCTAACATAACCAGTTTTAGATATCTGTAAGACATCTAAAAACTATGAATTTTACAATTATATAATTATAAATGGCGAATAATTATAACTACAAATTTGTCATTTTGATCGTTTTCTTTTTTTTAATGATTTTGTAATTATAAACTGGTCATTTTCTAACATAAATTATAAATTTTACAATTATGTAACTATCAATTGGTCATTTTCTAACAAAAATTATAAATTACATCGGTTGGTCATTTGGACCAGTTTTCAAGTGACTTTGTAATTATAAACTGATCATTTTCTCACAAAAATTATAAACTTTACAATTACATAATTATAAATTGGTCATTCTGACCAGCTTTCTTAACGATTGTCCAATTATAAATTGCTCGTTTGACTACATCTCTTATTATCCTGTAATCACAAGTTAGTCGTTTCGATCACTTTGGTAATTCCGCTCGTAGTGACGAAAACGGGGAAGGGCTGGAAACGTAGAATCGTTGGTAATTCACCAGCCGTTGATAACGTCGCCGTGGCGACAGCAGTCGGCAATTAAAAAAGACGCGAAACTTGTACCCCGGGGAAGAGAAAAGCTCCGACGAAATGTTCTATAACAAGCTTTTACAATAGGGGTTGCAAGGAGCTCTGGCTCCGGGTGGGGGTATAAGAGAGCGTGACGAGGGGAGAAGGACGTACGGACGCGGAGGATCGTGGATAAGGGTGAGAGAGGAGTGGAGAAGGAGAGGAGAAACCAGGGCGCAAGTATTGATCCCACACCGGGTGGTTGACACATTTACCAAAAACTTCGCGTGGTCTAGTTTCGGTCCTGAGGTCACGAAAGAAACGCTAAAGAAAATATAACTCGCACGCCTCCCTTCCTTCTTTTCTCTCCTCCTTCCCACGGAATTGGAATTTATCTCTACCCGGAGCACGGGCCGACATTTCGATCAATCGGAGCTCGAAGCCTGCGACTGATCCCCCTGCGACAATGGAACAAAAGTCGCTTCCACGTTCCAGATCCATCCGCAAATGCTCTCCGTTAAAAGAGGACGCGGGAGTGATAGCAGGCAAACGTTCGAGGAACGCTAGAAACGTTTGATCGACGCAGAAAATAATTCCACAAAGGTTTCAAAATAATTCCAAAGCTTCTCCCCCAAGAGAATTGAACCAATTTATATGGATGAGTAAGAAGTCGTCGCGGGTCTGCAATACACGACGCATTTGCATGACGCTCACTGCCTCGTGTCAGGCTAATTGGAAATCGACGCGTGCCAAAAACCGCTCGCGAGTGTTCTATTATAAAACTGGCAATGATAATGAACGCGCAAATTTCATCGAATCGCGAAGCGTTCTCCCTCTCGTGTGCAGCTTAACCTCCAGCGCTAGTAACTGGTTCGCGGACCATAACGAGTGACCAAACCGTATACAATACTTCGTCTTCTTTTTGAATTCATCGGTATATCACTGGATAGAAATTACTAAGAAGCAATAAATTTATTAATTGTTTTGCCATGGTTGTATTTAAATATATTTAAAACCAAGAAAATATTGCAATTTTGGACCAAATTTTCTCAACGTTGCACGTCATTCCAGCGCAAGAGGTTAACTACCAACTGATTGCGGACCATAACGAGTGACCAAACTGTATACAATAATTCGTCTTCTTTTTGAATTCATCGGTATATCAGTGGATAGAAATTACTAAGAAGCAATAAATTTATTATCTGCTTTGCCCTGGTTGTATTTAAATATACTTAAAACCAAGAAAATATTGCAATTTTGGACCAAATGTTCTCAACGTGGCACGTCATTCCAGCGCAAGAGGTTAACTACCAACTGATTGCGGACCATAACGAGTGACCAAACTGTATACAATAATTCGTCTTCTTTTTGAATTCATCGGTATATCAGTGGATAGAAATTACTAAGAAGCAATAAATTTATTATCTGCTTTGCCCTGGTTGTATTTAAATATACTTAAAACCAAGAAAATATTGCAATTTTGGACCAAATGTTCTCAACGTGGCACGTCATTCCAGCGCAAGAGGTTAACTACCAACTGATTGCGGACCATAACGAGTGACCAAACTGTATACAATAATTCGTCTTCTTTTTGAATTCTTTAGTATATCACTGGATAGAAATTACTAAGAAGCAATAAATTTATTATTTGCTCTGCCCTGGTTGTAATTAAATATACTTAAAACCGAGAAAATATTGCAATTTTGTGTCAAATACTCTCGACGTGCGTGGCACGTCATTCCAGCGCAAAAGGTTAACTACCAACTGATTGCGGACCATAACGAGTGACCAAACTGTATACAATAATTCGTCTTCTTTTTGAATTCTTCGGTATATCACCGGATAGAAATTACTAAGAAGCAATAAATTTATTATTTGCTTTGCCCTGGTTGTATTTAAATATACTTAAAACCAAGAAAATATTGCAATTTTGGACCAAATATTCTCAACGTGGCACGTCATTCCAGCACAAGAGGTTAACTACCAACTGATTGCGGACCATAACGAGTGACCAAACTGTATACAATAATTCGTCTTCTTTTTAAATTCATCGGTATATCACTGGATAGAAATTACTAAGAAGCAATAAATTTATTATTTGCTTTGCCCTGGTTGTATTTAAATATACTTAAAATCGAGAAAATATTGCAATTTTGTGCCAAATATTCTCGACGTGCGTGGCACGTCATTCCGGCGCAAGAGGTTAACTACCAACTGATTGCGGACCATAACGAGTGACCAAACCGTATAGAATAACTCGTAAAAAACTAAGAAGTAATGAGTTTATTATTTATTTTGCTAGGTTATATTTCAATATACTTAAAACTGAGAAAATATTGCAATTTTGGGCCAAATATTTTCAACATGCGTGGCAAAAAATATTCCAGAGCAAGTTTTTATTTTTCCCCTTTTTCCTTATGTGTAGTTGCAGTTCCTTGGGATTTGTGGTTCCCTATAACTTGCATTTAACATAAATACATTTGGCGTTGATTAACGAATGTTATCTCGTTGATTTGTGTGAGTAAGAAGGTTGCAAGTTTTTGCAGGGGGGAAATTTTCAAAAACCTGCAGTGCCTTGGTCCAGAGCAAGAGGTTAACCACTTGCGCTAGTAACTGGTTCGCGGACCATAACGAGTGACCAAACCAGTATACAATAATTCGTCTTCTTTTTGAATTCATCGGTATATATCGATAGAAATTACTGATAAGTAACGAATTTATTATTTTTTTTTTTACCTGGGTTTTATTTCAATATACTTGAAACTGAGAAAATACGGCAATTTTGGTGCAAAAAATTCTCGACGTGCGTTGCACGTCATTCCAAACGCAAGAGGTTGAACTCCACGGAAATAACAATACGCCCGAGGATCGTTTTTCCCACGTAGCTTTGCCGTGCTTATGAATTATGGGAATGTTGGGGCGCGGTCAGGGGAGTAAAAAGGAAAAAAAAAAAAAAAAAACGGAAAAATTAAATCGGTGATCTTCCCCCCTCTCTCCCGCCGGGGAGGGAAATCCCGTGGCCCGAACTCGGGAACATTGCCAAATGGGTCAGAGCTGGTATCGAGCTGGTACAGCGGCTACAGCGTTGTACTGCTGACCTCAGCCCTCCTTGCTCTCCCTCTGCCCTCTCCACCCCCCTTCCTCCCAGCCCTCCGCGTCCCCGTCACCCTAGATGGCGATCTAGAGCGATTCTAGAGCGAGGCCACAGCCGAGCAGAGATCAACTACGTACATATTTCGTACGAGCCCGCCTCGCGTCTTATGTCACTTGGTGCTTCTCTCCTCTATTGTCTCGCGACCGATCGCGGCCATTTCCTCATCGATCCCGCCTCGAGTCCATGGAACGAACTCGATGGGAAATCAGCTCGCGCTACGGAACATTGTTCATTCCCCTTTCTTCGAAATCGTCGAGCATCAACGAAGAACTTGGTCAAGCTCGCGTTAAATGCGCGACGCGATTCGATTCGATCCGATCCGATCCGATCTTTTGCCGAACGCGGATCGCGCTCTAAATCCGGGGAAATTCTTGCACTATTCTTCTTCGTGTTAACGAAGCGATGACCTAATTGCGCGTGCATGTTACCTGCACACAGCGCGAAACATCGTCGCTCATTATGAAACATCCTCGTGATACTGCCTGCGATGAATATTAATTATTTATATTCGTAAACGCGCGACGCGTTGCGCAAACTCTCGCTGACTCTCCGTTCTTTTTTTTTTCCAACGACTCTTCCCATTTTTTCCTTTCCGTTGTGTCGTTCCGAGACGAAGTTGGCTGTTTTCTGTGACAAGAGAAGATAGAAAACACCGTCGAAACGATTGACTTTTGTACCCGTTTCGACGATTTTTTCGACGATAATCGGATAATTGTTTTGCACGATTCCCATTGCAATTCGCAGCATCGTTTCCACGCGAGTAATTCTGCACGCGATTTGAATTTTAAATGGCGCGCGGGGTCGTTTCAACGTTCAAGGATTTTCGCGCTCCTTTATTTATTTTACCACGCGTTACAGTCGCGTACACCGACGACTTGAAAGTAGAATTCACATTTCACCAGCTGTAGCAACTAGCAATTGTGCAATGTTAATTGTTTCTGTCCTCCGCGGTATCGCGCGTTTGGAAAATAAAACTATTATCTTCGCGCAACGCCCCCGCGTGATCCACGAGCGAACAAAGATAACGAAGATACGAAACTTAGAAACTAGTCACACCTACACGTCTGCGTTAATTAAAACATACGACGTAGCGTGAAATACGATAAACTCGTCAGATTTTAAACACCAATAAATATTAATCATGTATGAAATTTCGGATCAGTAATTCAAAATAATTTCAGGTTTATTTTTATCTATACGTCGTTGTCCAAATATTGATTTAGTTTTTAAAAGAATTTCTCATATCATAAAAGATGTTAATTCAGCATGATCAATTCGTTTAATTCGTATAAATGGAGCGTCATTTTATTTTCTTTCCTTTTTTCTTTTTTTAATTTATATTCATATCAGACGAGATTCATTTTATCATTCATTTAAATTAATTCGTATTTGATTAATTGGAAGAATAATTTTATTTTTATCTATAGCCACAGCACTTTTAGTATTGCCACTCGAGGTCAAATATCATTTTGAGGAGCTATGGTTATTTACTAATTTATTATCATTAACTTACATTGGTCAAATAACTGTAGAATGAATTTGAGGAGGACCATAAACGGGCTTCGTGTTTGTACCCGATTCATCATTCGACTCTGAACCATTTTACGATCGTATCTGATCATAAATTCACGGATCATCTCCATCGTTGTGTCGTGAAAGAAATTTTTCCGATACTTTCCTCAACTTTTTGGCATAAAAATGACATTTGACAGACGTCACGCGTTTTCTAACGAGTATTGAATTATTATGTAATTTGTTCTTTCATCGCGTCATTAATTTTTAATAATATTTATTTCAATTTTAATGGTATTAATTTTGTTTACACGTAAGTATTGTGTTTACGACATTTTAACAGTATAAACATAAGAGCGTAAAAATTATCTCTGTCAGGTGTTGAACAAAATGTTCAAACGAGACATTTTTAATGGTATTTATTTCAGTTTTAATATTATTAATTTTTAATGGTATTAATTCTGTTTTTACAAGCCAGTGATATTTCGCGTGATCACTTTTTGTAAAAATAGTGTAGAAATAAGGATAGAAATTAAAACAACTTTATTATATTAGGAATAAGGATAGAAATTAAAACAACTTTATTGCATTAAAAATAAGGATAGAAATTAAAACAACTTTATTGCATTAGAAATAAGGATAGAAATTAAAACAACTTTATTGCATTAGAAATAAGGATAGAAATTAAAACAACTTTATTATATTAAAAATAAGGATAGAAGTTAAAACAACTTTATTACATTAGGAATAAGGATAGAAATTAAAACAACTTTATTACATTAGGAAGAGGTTCTAAAGATTTATATACTAAAGAAAATCAAAATATATATTTCTAAACATAAATGTATATCTAATCATTTCCTTTCACATGGTAAACGTGTTCAAAACGTGAACGGTGCCCTACAAAATTTCTCCCCCGGAAAAAATAAAGTAGTGAAACATATATATGTCGTAAATAAAAGACACCAGACACGTTTTTTCTTTTTTCAAATGTTGCAATAAACATCCTCTCTTATGGCGCCAAACAGGTGTGTAAGAGATAAAGTTTCTTCAATTACTTCGCGTACAAACTAAAATGTAAAAGTTCTGCTACTTCTTTTAATGAAAAACACCTTCATTGGAATTTTCAATATCTGCTTCCCTTATGTTAGTCGAAGACCAACTAACATAAAAATAATTGTAAGAATAGGAGACCAAAGGAGAGTAAGACTTGGCTAGGACCAACTAGTCTTGTTAGTATCGGAAACGTCGGCGATAGGAAATCGCGACACGCGACCGGGACGTCCCTCGAAAATTTCCACGAGGCAATAGGTGAAAAAAAAAAGAAAGAAGCGAGCTGTTCGAGATAAAAAAAAAAGGCGGTCGGTTCGACAGTTTGTCGAATGCAGCACGTGTCCCGTGCCACGTGCCTAAAGGTCGTTGCCCGCCTATGCTTATACCGGATTTCGTTTGATCCCCGGCCTCTCCACCTCCGCATTGCCCCCCCCCCCCTGCCCCTCTATCTTTGCCTAGCTCTAGCTCAACTAGTACAACACGTACATATGTATCTATGTATGTACGTACCGATCGAAGATTTATCGGAAAACACGCAACCGTGTTTTTTGTCACGTACTCGGTTCGTCCTTCGTTTCTACGTACGTTTTCTCCGGCAACTTTCCCACGCCGTTCTATCGAAATTTAAATCTACGGGACGTTCGACTCCGAAAAACAAGTGCTTAGGGAGCCGATGTCTCGGAATTCCCGGCATTCTCGGCGAGTTTACAAGGGGGCCCCTCAGTGGTTGCTACGTCGCAAGTTACACCTGTGTATCTGTTTGGACCATTCTCGCGATTTTTCCTTCGATGCGTCACGGCTTGGAGAGAAAGAGGCCGGGAACCAGGGGGGCCCCCTCCGATTTTCGCCTCGATCGTCTCGCCGATCATTACGTAACTACGTGTAATTTACAACGCGAAACGATTGCCGATGCAACGCGGACCGCTGGCAAGTAACACCGGGCTGGTACACTGCAATCGCCGCGTAAACCATCCGCTATTAATAGGAACCAGCCGCACCTATTTATCTTGCATAGGAGAGTCAAGTGCAGCTGGCCAACCGGCCGCTATCCACGACCGGCGACCAACCAACCACTCGATTAACAATCGAGTATGCCTGCGTATGCGTATACGTGTGCGTATATACTCGATTCTATCTACATTGGTGTTCTTTCTCTTTTTTTTCCTTTCTTCTTCTATTTTTTTTTTTTTTTTTTTTTTAATATTTTACTCTTATCGATTATACAGGGTGGCCATTGAAAGGCGGAATGATATAAAACAAAAGCAACTTTTACAAATACATGTTTTTTTAATTTATTTTATTTTATTTGTGCCTGCGTATGCGTATGTGTGCGTATATACTCGATTCTATCTACATTGGTGTTCTTTCTCTTCGTTTCCTTTTTTTTCTATTTTTTTTTAATTTTAATATTTTACTCTTATCGATTATACAGGATGGCCATTGAAAGACGGAATGATATAAAACAAAAGCAACTTTTACAAACACATGTTTTTTTAATTTATTTTATTTTATTTGTGCCTGCGTATGCGTATGTGTGCGTATACACTCGATTCTAGCTACATTGGTGTTCTTTCTTTTCGTTTCCTTTTTTTTCTATTTTTTTTTAATTTTAATATTTTACTCTTATCGATTATACAGGGTGGCCATTGAAAGACGGAATGATATAAAACAAAAATAACTTTTACAAACACATGTTCTTTTAATTTATTTTGTTATTTTATTTACGCCTACGTATGCGTATGTGTGCGTATATACTCGATTCTATCTACATTGGTGTTCTTTCTTTTCGTTTCCTTTTTTTCTATTTTTTTTTTTTTAATATTTTACTCTTATCGATTATAGAAAGTGACCATTGAAAGACGGAATGATATAAAACAAAAAGAAAGTTTTACAAATACATGTTCTTTTAATTTATTTTATTATTTCATTTGGAAATATAATTAACGGATTTTTTTTCAGTGTCATGTGTTTTTAATCTCCAAGGGATGCTCTGTAACCTACAAAAAAAAAGAAGATAAAGGAGATTGAAAATGAAGCCAATACTGTTTTAAATCCTTCAGTTTGTCAGTAGCCACCCGACATTATACGAACATATCAATTGTCAATTATATCATATGTATATACTTACATGGATGAACCAATGTTTCTGTTGTTTTCGAAGATATAGCTCTGTTAGTAAAAATTGAGAGGGGGCTATAATGTGGCAGTGATACGTAATTCTATTTTTTTGAATTCTATTGCTATTCTTTTCTCGTTACTTACTTTTTTTTTACACATTTCTCTCTTTACAATTGTATTATATATTTATATATATTATATATTTATATTATATAAATATATATTATATTTTTATATATATTAAATATATTGTATATTGTATATTTACGTATCATATATATATATATATTTATTTATATATATATATATATTATATATTGTAAATTTACGTAGGTGAACCAATGTCTCTGTTGTTTTTGAAAATTTGAAAATAGCTCTTTTAACGTGAATTCCCTAGCAGAAGCAATTGTCCATCACTAGTAATAGAAAATTTCCTAGGAGTCCCTTCTGTGACAGTGATAAATTCTACTTTTTCGAATTCTATCATTGCTATTCTTTTCTCGTTACTTTCCTTTGCATATTTCTCTCTTTCTTTGTAGCTCTTATCAGTTGTATTACATACTTATGTGAGTGAACCAACGTCTCCGTTGTTTTCGAAGACATAAAACAGATTTGTTAACAAAAATTGCCTAGCATAATAATTTTTCCGAAAAGGAAACATTATTCTCTTCCTCCTGGCGAAGTTTCGCAGATTTCAAGGTCACCCTCATTCTCTTTAAATCAGGAACTCTATATTTTCTTTCATAATGCAATCGATACAGCTTTTTATCCGCTGTAAAAATGTACTGACCCATTTGTGTCGAAAAATTAACCGTTTAGGAGATATTTTCGCTTCAATTCTTTATTTTTTCTTCTTTGTAAGATCCATCTACGAAAAACAAGGACAAAGTATGAGCGCAAGAATAGATTCTACAGAATTAAGTTAAGATGGAAATATCTCCTAAACCAATTATTTTCACTAAAATTAATCCCCTAAACTAATCAGACGAAATAAATCAAGCTGCATCGATTAATGGAGCAAAAAAAAAAAAAATTATATCGTTCCGCATGAAACAGTGGAGGTGAGTTCGAAATGACCTTGAACCTCTCAACTCACAACTGAACAACTTTTCCGTATCTTCGAAACAACGAGAATATGTATAATGTAAAGACTATTCATCCTCACATAAATTAAATCGATTTTCTCGTTTTAACCACTTGTGCTGGCAACTGATTGCGGACCATAACGAGTGACCAAATCGTATACTATTTCTCTTTAAACTCGCCGGCACGATGTCACTGAATCGAAAATTATTGTGACGTAATAAATTTATTATATGCTTTTCCTGGGTTATACTTACACTAAAGGTTATACTTATACTAATATAACTTATTATATGATTTTCCTAGGTTATATTATTATACTAAATACAGGGTGTTTCGTAACTTGTAGAACCCACTTCGAGAGCTGATTGTACGCCTAAAAATGATTTATGCTTTACCTGGGTTATACTTATACTAATATATAATATATAATTTATTATATGCTTTTCCTGGGTTATACTATTATACTAAATACAGGGTGTTTTGTAACTTGTAGAATCCACTTCGGGAGCTGATTATACGCCTAAAAATAATGAAAAAAAACCATAAAAATACATGTCCTATCTGTCTTCGTTTGTGAGATGTAATGAATTTTCTGTTTTAATTACTTTTACAAAAGATGCTCGAAATGACCAGCTTGCATTTGAAGACATGCTTGCACGCGTCTTGTCATTCATCTGGTTACTCTCTCTATCATTCCTGGTGTTTCTCGAATTTGTCGGAAGCCTTGCTCTATTCTATTTCGTAGTATTTCAGCANAAAAAAAAGGTCCAATTAAAAATTTATCAATTATTCCTGCCCGTACGTTTAAACTAAACTGGTGTTGATGTCTCGAATGCACAATAACGTGTGGGTTTTCTTCATCCCAATTATGATTATTATGAAAATTGAATGTACATTCCTTGTAAAACTAGCTTACCAGAGTTTGCTCTGTTTATAAAATTCATTATATCTCATGAACGAAGACAGATAGGACATATATTTATATGACTTTTTTTCTTTATTTTTAGGCGTACAATCCGAAGTGGGTCCCACAAGTTACGAAACACTCTGTATACTGAAAACTGAGAAAATATTGAGACAAAAAATTCTCGACGTGCGTGACGCGTCATTTCAGCGCAAGAGGTTAAAATCCCGCAGGAAGATACCTTCTCGTCGCGTCCCCAGGCAGGAATAAATACATCGGGATGCTCGAATCAATGGTCGCGAAGCAGGAAACGATGAGGATGATAACCGTGGAGCGGTTCTACTCGTAGCTGACGCACGTGTAAACCAATCGCGCGTACGAATAAAAATACAGCGTTCGCCTTTATACTCGTACACATGTTTCGCGCGATAAGATAAAAAAAAGGTGGCATATTTCACGATCCGTTTCACGAAAGATTCATCCGCTGAAATCCTGGAAAGTCTGAAGACTTCAAAATCGTGGGACTGATTTGAAATCTTCGCGATACGTTTTTTTGAAAGTAAAAAAAAAAAAAAAAAAAAAATGTGAGTAATTTCTCGTGCCTTTCCCCACAAGTGCTAACCTAAACTCCAACACCTTGAGCTTTCGAGGAAGCGCTTAACCAACATTCTCTCAGTTTTTTCAGTATATTTAAGTATATAACCCAGGCGAGAAGCAAATAATAAATTTATTACTTCACGATCATTTCTCCATCCAGCGATATCGTACCAATTATTGTATACGATTCGGTCACTCGTTATGGTCCGCAATCAGTTGCCAGCGCAATTGGTTAAGAGAGCAACAGCAATAGCAAGTACATTAGCATGATCTCTCTCTCTCTCTCTCTCTCTCCGTTCCTTTTTTTCGCAATGCGACATTCAACGGTTCGAGGAGCTTCTCGGACTGCTTCAACGCGTTACGGCTGCGTCAACTTGCGCGTGAAATCCCATGGAAACTGGGCACGACGTGGGACGCGGCTGCGCGTCCGGCTTGCTGCCGATAGAAAACACGTTTCTACGCCTATGCATTCGAATGAACATACATACATACATACATACATACGTATGTACGTAAGTACGTACCTACGTACCACGTGTCCTATCCTCGCGTGACTAGGTACAACCGGGAGCACGTGGCCCCCCACTACACGCCCCTCCAGTCCGTCGATGGCTCACGAAAAAGAAAGAGAGAAAGAAAGAAAGAAAGAAAGAAAGAAAGAAAGACGGACGTAGAGGGCAGAAAAACCAAACCCCAAGGGAAGATGGACGAAGAAAATTGAGGAAGAATATGAATGGTAGCTTGACCAACAAACCCCGTGAGGAAGAAACTCAAGATGGAGAGGGAGGGAAACAAATAGCCGAGGGTAGGGAGATGCGGAAGATGCTGAGGGTTGGCAAAGGGAGAGCTGCAATGGCTCGCGGAAAAGATGGAATTCTTCAAGGCGAACGAGGGCGGGAATCTCGTAACCTGCGTCTTATAAAATATTGCAATATCGTAGGTTGTTATAACCCGTAGTTATTATATTTTAGTTGCGTTTAATTACAACGGATGGTTTGCGTGCTTTTCTTTTTCGAGAAAAGGTCGACTAAGTGAGAAAGCGTCGAGAAAGAGTTGTTTTTAAAAGAATTGATTGTGTTGTTCAAAAAAGAGTTTTTATTCGAATCAATCAGCAAAGTGTTATTTGTCTAATTATTTTAATCACCACTATTGTCATTTAATAAGTATCATTTATACTTTATCTCTACAATATTTGGCTAGTCTTTTTCCAGCAAAATTTAATGGAAATTGGGAATTCCGATTGAATAAATCGATAGGTATATCGCTGCTATTATACGCGCCAATTATAAATCACGATATTTCGTCGTACAGTACACGAGGAAGATAAATGAATCCCCCATCCTTACGTTCGGAATCTTCCACTTATCATCGTAATGGCGCAACGAGACACAAAAATGTCGTATTTCATGTCACTGTCCAACCACACAACAAATACGCGCCGACCGAGATAACGAGTATATTCAAATCATTTAATATAATCGGACGAGCCTGCGTACGATCTTGGCCACTTCTGCTCAATCATAGCAAAATAAATTCACAAGTTTCCACGCCATGAAAATGTAAATGTAAGGAAGAAAAAAAAAAATTTCTCCATCTCGTAATTTCGACCTTTTTTTTCTTCAATCGCGAGCAACAATCATTTGCAACAAGTTTGCAACGACCTTGGTCAGTTAGACACGCCGACACGCTGGTTTAAAAGAAACGAACACGATCACCTACGTTTCGCGAATTACGAAACGAGGTTACGTACCATGAAAATTCCCCCTCCCCCCAACAGCAATATACGTATAATTCCAGCATAAAATGGAAGCGTTTTATTACGATAATTGTTCGCGTCGCGAGCTTCTTTCAATAACGCTCAACTCCTGACAGCGAGTAGTGGATGACACAGGGGAATAGGCGCTCGGAGAGAAAGGGCAGAGAGAACGGAGGACGGAGAAGGTTGTCAGAAAAAAGAAAGGAAGGAGCGGAGAGATGGGGTTGGAATAAAAGGGACTGAGGGGAGCACGGGAGAAAAGAGAGGGAGCTGTAGAGCGAAGCACGAGAGGAAGAGACAGAGAGAGAGAGAGAGAGAGAGAGAGAGAGAGAGAGAGAGAGAGCTGGAAGACGGAAGAAAAGGGGAGAGCAGAGCGAGAACAAAGTTGGTGGGGTCGATAGTTGGTCGAGTTGGCGAGAGAGCCGGTTGTGTAACAAAGGAACGAAGCAAATAACAAGAATCCCAAGGTGCATTCGTCGATTTACTCCGGCTTCCTCGAACGCACAGCGCGGCGTTCCGCTGATAAATTAGCGAACGTCGCTTCCCGGCTCGCAGCTACCACCTACGTACGTCACGCACTTGTGCATGTGTTGGTACTTCGCTTCCAATTCGCCGATATCACCAATGATCTGCCCTTCCGTCTCTCCGCGCAACCACCGTTCCGCGCGTAAGAATACTTCTCGCGCGGTTGGAACAGATCTCGATCGATGAAACTGCATTCAGTTCCTCGTGCAACGTTCAAGCGAACCAAGGTCGAGAATTCTTTCCTGCAAACGACAGACAATTTTATATCGATTTTTCAGAAGCGAACGGTAACGTTAATCGCGAGCAATTGACGCGTCGAAGATGGAACGTGTGTCTACGATGCAATTGTGCAAGGTGCAGTTTCCATTCCATTTCACGCCTCGCGCCTGTGCATCTTCTGGCTGTCCCCCTGCACGCGTCAAGTCCACGTGACTACTATTGCCAACCGCGACGCGCTCGGCGACTCTCGGCTTCCTCAGACCGATGCCTCGTTTCGTCAAAGTCAGAGCAAATCTCGTCGCGCGAGAGACGAAGAAGAACAAAATTGTGAAACTCCCGGGATGGAGTGTATATATACGAAAGAGAGGGAGAGAGATCCAAGGGCAGTCGAAACTGAATTTAGAGAAGATAGAAAACAGGAAGAGACGAACGAAACGAAACGGAGTTGCAAATGCCAGTGAAGAGAGGAGCGGAAGAAAGAAAAAGAGGCGCGAAGCCAAGCAAAGGCTTGACACGAGCCGTTGCTTACGTAAGTACGTACGCAGATAAGAATGTGCTTATCTGAGGAACGTTAGCATGCGAGGCTACCTCGACAACAGAAAAGTATGCCCGTCAAATCGCGACGCGACGCGGCGACTTCACCGAACTTTATTCAGCAACCGTTCCGCATATCTCTCATTTTTACCCGCGTGACATTATCGCGTCGATTCGCCATCCAACGATGCTCGAAACTCGTCGAGAACAGTCGATTTGCAAAATTTCTTCGACGATTGGCAAACTCTGACTTTCTCGCAGAAAATTTCAAACACGCGTGGTTCCTTTTTTGAAATATACGCGCGGCAAAGATTTGTCCGTAACACTCGTAAATCCTCCGTGTATATAGATCCACGGTACAGCATACAAACACAACGTACCTATTTATCAAACGTGGATAATCTCTAATTTTCGTTTTCTATCGTTATTAGAGTATTTCGCGTTACATAATGGACGACACAGCGTGCCCAACAGTTTCATCGAGCGGAGATACGTATCTTGTGCCTCGCGCTCAGTTATACATACATACATACATACATACATACATACATGTTTCCATAACGCGGCGAGAAATACGAACGATTTCTTGAAACATTTGGGTCACTGCTATTTCCTCGTTAGGGATAGACGAACGGCCAAGGCTCTCGCGAAGTGACGCACTGAAATGCCCCGTTTTGTTACCATGTGAAACGTGTACGCAAAAAAAACAATTTTTTGCGTACAAAAGAGTGTTAATTCGCGATACGATAGGACAGTAGCAAGCGAGCACTCGCGATAATATTCACGCATAGGAGACGAATTAAAATATAAGCGTTTTCGGTTGACACAGGCCGCGATGATTTTCCCCCCTTCTGTTCCCTACCACGAGGTAGGTCGATCCAATTGGGGTTCGAATAGCCTAACGTGGTGGCCTCCCCTTTGAGTTCCCCCGTTGCGATCAATACCCACGATGCCAAAGCTAATGCAGACTACCGACTTCTCGTATACAGGTCTCTCTCGTCGTGAAGCATCGCTGTCCTTGGCTGTACAGTCTATACAGCGAGTCGGCAAAGTCTGCTCGCCCCGTCGGTCGCCACGATATTCACCGGCGAGTGTCCTACAATTCTTCTACTTGCGAAATCGCCGCGATCGGTTGTGAAAAAGAGAAAAAAAAAAAAAAAGAAAAAAATGGCCGTCGATCGATCAACGCGCGTTAATTACGTGCAGGTTACACGCTCCTCTCGAATGAGTCGAGTTTCATTGAAACTTTGTACCGAATGGCACGCGAATACGTACTTTATAACGCTCCTTTGTTCTCGAAGGTGCGACTTACTTTTCAAAGTAATCGCCTATAACGCGATATTTCGAACGAACGAGAAGCAACTGCCGCGCGAAATTTTTACTCGGTCGCATGTGAAACATGCCGTGCTTCCGCCGGCATATCCAATACTTTAATCCGGTATATATATATACGTACTCGCGCGCGCGCGCGCGCATACGCCACGCAGCATACGCACGTACACAGCCACGTGAATTTATACGTACAGCTGCGCGTTGCGTCATCTCCGCAATTTCGGATACCCCGTTTACCTACTCGTAATCGCAACGAGGAAGAGGAAGCGAAACTCCCGTTCCTTCCCCGATGACCTTTCTCTTTCTGTCGATTATCATCGGGCGTGCGCAAATGCGTCCACGGACACGCAGAGAAACGCACGGACACGCGTGTATCTCGCTCGTTCTCCTTGAGAGTTGCACAACGCGCCACCTTACCCATTGTCTCGGCCTCCTCTCCGCGTGGTATCCGCTGCCCGTCCATCCACGTCCAAAATCTTTCACGTGCTCGATCGAAACGCAGAGATTATCAGAACATATATACGCACATACGTATGTACGCGGGTATAAAATTTCCTCATCGAGATAGGCTTTTCGTTTTCTAGTGCCGAGACACGCGTGTCGCCTCGTTACGTAAGAGGAAACAAATAAATCTTTTTACACGTGCGCGTTTCCCTCGCTGAAAACAAATACTTCACGATAATACCTCGTTACCAATTCCACGTGTAACAAGCCGTTTCTTCGAACGAGTTGACATAATAAGAAGGTAGGGCATGATTTTGGCAACAACGATATTCGAAGCAATCGTATATGACAAAAGTTATGGAGTCGTAAAGAGAACATTGGACGCGATAAATACGTACACGTATATACAGATAAGGTTAGGCAGCTAGCTCGTTTCGCAGAGTGCATAGAGCAGTGCGTGCGAGTAACAGTCTCACGCGCACACAGCGTATGCGCGCGCGCGCGCGTGTGCGGTGTTCAATGTGGTGTGCGAACACACGCGCGCCCGACGGAACAAAGAAAAAGCCCTAGCGACCAGCAATGCGGCAACGGTGAGCGCCTGCGCGCCACGCTATGTGAGTCAAGGACGACACGTGCGCTTGAAACGACCTACTTATATCCCCGTGGCTTCGTGCGCGATCGGCCCGCCGCACGAACCTTCCCGAGCGTAGAAATAGGACGACCGAGTCGAGGTTCCAATGTTCTCTGCCGAGCCACCACCACCACCCCCCTCCTCCGCCGCACTGTGCGCGCGAGCTTCGTTTAATCGACTAACCGCTATTCGCGTAGCATCGTTCTTTCGCGTTTAATGTTTCGATCGTAACGATCGGCTCGGCTTGCAGCATGTCTCTCAAACCTCCGCTTCTCCGCGCCGCGGATCGATCGAACGATTTCTCGTTTTCTTCGTGCTCCGAAGATCTGTGATCGTCGATTTTTTTTTTTGCTCGCGCGACGATAGATCGATCGTCATGATTTCTATTGTATATCTTTGCGTTTCGAACGAAGGGAGATTACTTGTACGTACGTACGTAATTGGTATTGCTTTGGAGAACGTTGCGCGTTACGTAACGTAAACGATCCGTACGCGTTCCCGATAATTACGTAGATCCCTAGAACTCGAGTTACACGGTCGACGGTTTTACTTCTCCGCGAAAGAAGGCAAAGAGGCATTCTTTTCAGTTGAAACGTGTACGTTATCAGTACACAGAAAAGTTGAAATATCTGGAGAAACGAATCTTGAACGATCGTGGTGACCATTGCTACAGTGTGTGTGTGTGTGTGTGTGCGTGTGTGTTGTGTGTCCTATATGCGAAACGTGGAAAATCGATAGAAAAATGGGTCAAAGGTCTCGGCGGCGTTCTCGGCGTGAGTATCACATTAACGAAATGGTAACCTGATTACTTTTGTCAGAGGAAGAAAAAAGTGGTTGAGTGGAGGCGCTGCTCCGACGAATTCGCGTCGACGACGCTGTTACGTTCGCCAGACAAGAGGGATTGGCTGGCATCCATCCCCGTGTTCGTATGTTTCGGGAACCGTACCTGGACCCAGCAGACACACACACTGTCCAAAAGGCGGTGGCTGCAAACACCGCCTTGATTCGTCGGTTTTCTTCCCATCGACGGCATAAGTAGCGCGTTTCCGCGCGGCTTGCGGCCAGTTCCTGTTCGACCATCGTCATACGACTGTAGCGGCAAAGCGCGGGCGTATGTGGAATCTTCCAACACACATGCACGCGCAAAGATATATGCACGATGGCGTTTACACGCGCGCGTACGCGAAAGCTGTGCATGTGTACCGTACCTCTCTCTGCATCATGTGGCACGTATGTACACGGTGCCTTCGCCGAGTATCGGTCACGTTAGATCGGGAATGGCCTCCTCCGTGTGTGTGTGTATGTGCGTGCGTGCGCACTTCCTACGCGCGTGTGGTTGTGTATCCCGTGGACAGTAAACGCCGCGGGAATTCGTGGTGTGCAATCGGCCAATGACAGGCCAAATAGCAACGGCTGTGCGCCAATCAGCGAACAGAAATGTTCGCGAATGCGCGCCACAGTTGCCACCGGATGTCGATCATAGCCAGTAGTGGGGATAAACTGAGAGTGCGGCACGGGCTACGCGCTCGAGCGCATCCTCGTTCGTCGCTGCTCGCCGTCGGAGTCGGTCGCGTTTAACGCTCGAGTCTTCTCTTTCTCTCACACTCCCTCTCTCTCTCTCTCTGTCTCTGGCAGTTTTCCGAATCCGAAGATAAAGGAGGAGAAAACCTCTCTCCGTTGTTCGCTTCGACCACGTTCTCCACGACGACGACCGATGGTCCTCCGTCACTTTGGACATCCGAAATCGTCACGGTCGTCTCTGTGCCTGTTACCTCGCCGCTCTTGGACCTCTGCGATTTTTTCATGCATCATCGTCGTGCCGCGCATCGTCCGATTCGTTTGATTTTCACGTTGTGCCGTGGTTGCCGTGCTCTGCGAACTGCGTTCTACTTGCAAAACCAAAGGCCCGTACCTGTAACTAGCAACCAAATGATGGACAGTGGAGCCTCGGACCGTCACTGTGCACCGTTTCTTGTTACCGCTTTTTGCCATTTATCCGCAAGTGTTCCGCGAAGGTCAGTTACCGGGATGAATTGTGCTTTCGCACGAATCGACTGTTTTCTAAATATATTTCGTTCAATCGTTTCGTCTCTTGCGCTTTTCTTCACGTGGCGCGCGATTAGAATGAACTGAAGTTTCTCCTTAGCGTTTCGTAGATATTCGTACCGAGTAAGTTTCACGTAAAACCGATAGTTCGATATAGTACTACGTCTGCCAACGCGGCACATGGAAGATCCAACAGATTTCTCTCTCTTTCTCTCTCTAGCTAGCTATCATCTATATATCTATCTTGAATCAGTTAATTGTGCGAGTTGCCGAGAGAAGAGAAAATTCGAAACGATAGAAGATTCGATCGATTTGGTGGACATCAACTTGACGATACAAAAGCTCATTTGCTTACTTTTTGTGCTTATAAAGAAAGAAAAAGAAAGGAAGGAAGGAAGGAAGGAAAGAAAAAAAAAAAAAAAGGAAACGTTCGCGTACGTCAGCAGTGCTCGTGTCCGTGTTCCCTTTGGTCTATCAGTGGGTAAAGATGGCGGCCTCGTCGTTCGGTTGGTTCGTCGGTTGAGTGGTGAGAGGGGCAACTGTGACGCAACCTAACGTCACGTGATCAAACCGTGGCTCTGCTCTCGCTGGGCCAGTGTGTGATCTAACGTTTGTTACGGCGGTTGGTGGAAAATAACGTCTTCTTGGAGAGTGTTGGATAGACAAGAAGAAGAAGAAAAAGAAGAAAAAGGAGTACTTCTTTCGACATTACATCCCGTTGCTCCTGAACGCAACGCCACACCACCTTGATCTTTTTCTCGGTCGCTAGGTCAGTGGGGGTGAGAAACTGGCTTGGCTCTCTGTGCTACGATAGTCAGTCTTTTTCTCTCTCCTATCGACCTCGCGACACATCTCTTTCAACGATATATCGGACCTACTGCTCCAAGTACTTTTTTTTTTTTTTTTTTAACCAAGAAGATGCTACGTTTCTTTTTGTTTTTTTTTTTTTTTTTTNTTTAAAGTCCCTTTTTTTTTTTTTTTTTTTTTTTTTGTTTGAGTCGTTTATCTAGCTCTTTCGTGTTCAAATGATAAACTTTTTTTTCAATATTTCAGCAGTTGAGATACTGTGCACACATGCCTACCGATGACGGTAAATTTTCACCGAATATGTCGTAAATCCGGATACACCTGTTTCGTCGAATATAGTCTTACGTAGCAGCTGAACGACACGTAGGTCCCAATCGTTGCAAAGCTACTTTGTAATTGCTGTGCAAGATCCCAGCCGTTAGAGCGCCGTTCACCTCGAACCTTCTTGTACTTTCTAAAACCGCTTACTTTCGTAACTTGGCAAATACCGCCGGCCTCGTGCCACGTACATACTAGCTCGCTGCTGTTGGTGATTACGGGCCTACATTTCTTTTTCTTTTCTCTCTCTCTCTCTCTCTCTCTCTCTCTCTCTCTCTCTTTAGTAAACCGCTCCGTTGTCATTCTCCGTGTAAAACAAGTGTATCGGTTTTACAAGTGTTGTTTCACAGCTCGCATCTGCATTTATCTCTTTTTTCTTTTTCATATTTGAAGAAACTCTTTAAATGCATATTTTTTGTGATTTCAGATTTCACACGTTTTTGATACAGTCCGTGATTGTCCCGCGCAGAGAAACAAATTTTTTTTCTTTTTTTGTTTCGTTGGACTCCAAGTAAGGAAAGGACATGCACGATTCTCTTCGCGTGCAATGAGAGAAAAAAAAACTGTATACGGTATTTCCAGTGGGTTAAGTTCGTTTGAAAAGGACAGTACTTGTACTATGATTTTGTTGACACGTTTCACGGTATAGAGAAAAGTCGATGGATAAAAACGAGAAGTTTGGAAAGTTTTACCACTCCTTAGGAAGAATGGACAGGTAGGAGACGATGATGGAATTGAGATATGCCGTGCGCGCACGTACATGTAAGGAGGAAAGGGAAGTGGGACTGGCTTGCCTTGTGCCACTTTATACGTACGTACCGCTATCGAGATCGTAGTCTCGATATTCTGTACCGATCTTGTAATATTACCAGATTCGTTTCTTCCCTCGATATCGCTGACATTGGTTTCGCTTGTTATCGCTGTCGAACCAAGCGTGCCCCCAAGTTGCAAATCTCTAGATCATTGAATTTTTTTTCCTTTTTTGCGAAAAAGAAACTTTTTGGTAGTATTGAAATTTTTGTATACAGAATGTTTTTAGCGTGATCGGTTCGCTTTAATAATCGCGACGAAACGAAATAATTTTATCGAAGACATTGGGACGTGTGTGCTTTCGGAAGGCGTAAGTATCGGTTGAAATCTGTGCAAGAGAGAAAAAAGAAGAGCGAGCGACGGGTGGACACAACAACCGCCATTTTATAGAAACCACCGCATTGCGGCCATCTTTTGTATAGTAACCGAACCGTTTCCATTTCCATTTGGGATTGCTTGATTGGCTCGAATTCCGTTCCACGCGCTGTCTAATTTTACACGGTGTCCTCGAATCCGCCTCGCCATGGCTCATCGTGTGCTTGCTACCTGAGTCCGAGAAAACGCGTTTCCTATCAAAATCGCTCGCAACCTTTTTGCCGGCTTTCTGCTGAAATTCCCCGGAATTTCCAACTCGGAAATGTCAACCTCGTAGCCATAAACGAATGGTCGCCAGCTATTGAATTTGTATGCACCACGTGCGTGAATGTGTGTGTGTACATATGTGTGTAATTGCTTTGTTTACACAGATACGTGTGCGTAAATTTGTAACAAATTGTAAGCAATAAAATTTATACGATAGGTGAAGCGAAATGTGCTACGCATGTGCATGTGAGAATGATGCACAACCGTTTTATTGTAACGAGGCTGAAATTGAAAATAAACGTACAATTACGAAAGTTCAGTTATTTTAAAATCATTACCATATTACCAATCTGTGCAATTGTAGTCCAATCTGCAGCTAATATCTTCTTTTTCTAGGTAATTGGTAATTAAAATTTGGTAATCTCAGATGGATAGTTGGCACGACTTTGGCAAGCTGCACCGAGGAAGAATGAAAAGTCTTTCACGCGCGGGTTAAATAATCTGAGGCCACAAGTCTGGCGACTCGACGACTCATCTTCTTAATCCGCTGAACGCGAGTTCCGTTCTCGCCGCGTCATTCGCATCGCGGTGACGAGAATTCCACGCCATCCAATTGTCTTCGAGTATCGTCGCTTTATTTTTTTTTTTTTTTTTTTTTTTTTTTAGGAAAAACGTTGTCACGCCAACCGGGCTTGCATCCGAATAAAAAACAGTGACGAGATCGTGTCTCTTGGCGTTGTGGACTTCGTTCCCTGCCCCGTTTGAAGAAAATTCCCCTCCGTTGTCTGCGCCAATGTTGCGGATGACATCATTGCGAAACGGTTGGCCAGCGGGTGGAGGGGGGTAGAGGGGCATCTGTAAAGATCGCGGATCATCAGGAAGAGCGGGTAGAGACGAGGAGTGTGATGGTTGCGCGTTGCGGGAGTGAAGGGGGAGAAGGCCGAGAATGAAAAGGAAGACGCGGCTAGCGATGGCCTCATCAACGCGTTTCGCGTTTTCTTTTTCTTCCCTTTGCGGATCCGCGTGACAAAACAAGTCGCCAGTTTACGGCATCTCGGCTTGTTTCGCGAGAACTCGGACGACAAACTTGACGGCAGAGAAAATGACGAATAACTACCGGATAACTGAGATTACGCAACGTGTTTCGTCTGTTGCTATATTCATGTTCATAGATACGCTGTTGCTATTCGTACACATGCAGTTACGTATGCGTGTGTATACGCGGGAAGAAAAACGTTCTCGATCGATCTCCGCGGGCAGATGCAAGAAGTCGCGTGTTTCGAGAACTTACGAGACGGAATCGAATGGCCATCGCTAAGCACAGAAGTCTCTGAGGAGCAAATGAGACGGACTGAGAACGAAAGAACGAGCAATCTCTGTGTGTGTGTGTGTGTGTGTGTAGAAAACTCACGGAGAGGGAAGAGGAGAATGAAACCGTGATGTGATATAAGTATGAGAATGGCAGCGGTGGGGTAGACCAGGCAATCAGGCCTTGAACGAGCGAAAAAGAACAAAAAATCTGCTCGGGGGTCCTCTCCGCTATACACTAAACCGCTTCGTGAAGTTGCAAAGAAAGAAAAACGAAAAGTCGTAGAAAAAAGTGCCCACCTCGTCTCCCTTCCCGTTACCGAATTATCGCTTTCGATCTATTTCTACGATTCGCAACGATATTTTTGGCAATGTTTCGCGTCGCAGTTAACCAAAAGATATTATGCCCAGAAATAGAACGTTACGCGTCCAACGTGAGCTCTTTTTCGCTCGCGACTATAATTTTCAAGCTGTTGCACGCCGAGGGCGCGTCGGTTTCAAAGCAACGCACGTTACGTACGTTGCCACGACAGGCTTGCTCAGAGAGTCGAAGAGAGGGGATTGAAATTTCTAATATCTAATAGAAAAATTAGAAAAATAATAGTAAAATCGGCGTCGCGATCGTTCCGAGGAAAAGTATCTGCGTTTTCGCTGGAATTGCGCAGAAATGACAAGCTCTCGAGAATTTTTCTCGCCGTCGTTTATCGTCTACACTTTGATAACGACTCTATCGAAGAGATTTGCCTCCTTCACTTGTCGAGAATCGGCGCGTGGATTTCCACGTGCATGCTTCCTGCATGCAACAACGTCCTCGATGTGTCGAGCTCCGCTCAGCGATATGACACATCGGAATTTACGTGGCAGCAACTTTTCCGGAAATGCGTCAGTGGAATACTGACAATGAACGGAACGACAATACGCCACCACGCGAGAAAGAAGGAGCGAGCAAGGAGAGAGGGGAAGAGGAAAAAGACGAATAGGATACCGGCTATCGCTCGGAAGCTCGATAATGCAATTGTGTAACCGCAACAACATCAAAGAGTCAACACCTTCGGCTCTTCGTATATCGTATTTTTAAAACGGCCTGGCGATTTTAAACCTGCCGTTTTCCGTGTTTGTCTTTATTTACGCACGTACAGGGTGGTCACCGAAAAACTGAATGATAGAAAACAACTTTTACAAACACGTTTTTTTTTTAATTTTTTATTATTTTATTTGGAAGTATAATTAATGGATTTTTTTCAATATTTTGTGTGAAACCTACAAAAGAGGAAAATAAAAGAGATTGAAAATGAACAAGTTGTGACTTTTTCAAATCCTTCAGTTTTTCCAGTGGACACCCTGTACATATATTTGTCTGTGGTCGCGAAGCTTTATTTACAGCTGGCGAAGAGAAGGTAGGTGACGGACGTGGATCGAATTGTAAGTTAACAAAGCATCGCGAGATCCATAAAACGGAAATAGCGTATCGAACACGGCTAAAGACTTGTTCACATCGTGCTTCGTAAAGTTATGTTTCAAATATCGTACGTTTCTCGTCGGTGAAACTTTAAATATCGTCTCTTCAACTTCAAAAATAAAGCCCTTTGTCGAGTCCATTTTCTCCGAAGATTTTGACCTCGGCTGAAACGCGCGATCCTATCGTTCAGATTCGCTATGATGCAATAATTTACAGAAGCGACGAGCCATTGAATCATTTTCCAATGTCTCTGAAAAATTTACTCACGCGAGTGGTACCGAAGGAATACACTCTCGGTATGCGTCTCTGTGAAAGTTCGAGAACTACGAAGTTTGCGAGTTTCCAGTTGGGGAAAAGCGACAAGCTCTGCATCGTCCGACAGTTGATCCCTCGGCAGGTTAAAAGCCTAATCGTTGCTCGGGGTGATTCGTGGGGAAAGCTTGCGACAGGCCTGTTGCAAAGGCAAAATTAAAAGCAAAAGCGTTCGAGGAGATGAGTGGTGCGAGTCGCGTGAAACGAAGGGGGGAGGGGGAGAGTGGAGAAGGAGGAGGGAAACGAAAGCGAAGACTTCCGGTGAGAAGCGAGAAGGGAGAGGGAAGAACGGGTAGGGAAGAGAAGAGAGGAGAGAGAAAAGGAAGTGTTACGAGGCGTGGGAGAGGGCGTCTCCTTTGACAGAGCGAGGCCAGGCAGCGGCGCGAGCGAGCGAGAGAGAGAGAGAGAGAGGATTTCACGAAGCGACCTGTTCGTCGGTTCCATCCTCACCGAAAACCCACCCCAACTTTCACCCTCGCAGTACGCCCGGACGACTCGATGCTCAAAGATGGCCGCCTAGCTGGCTAGGAGGTCACCGGGTGCAACGCTAGACCACGCCCTACACACTCGCCAAACCCGACCAGCCAGCTTTCCATCGGCCGATTTAGCTTGCACAGCCAGTATCAAGGGCGCTCCAAGGACGAATGCCGGCACACCACGCCGCTCCTTCAAGAACGATCGCAGGCTCCCTAGCTGCGTGCGATCGCTTCTTCCCGGAAATTACGCAATCACGACCGCTCGTTACTCGTTAACCTCCCAGTCTCTCGTGTCTCTCTCTCTCTCTTTCTCTCTCTCTCTCTCTCTCTGTGTGACAGTCTCGCAATCTCTTATTCTCTTTTCTCAAAATGCCTGTTTTCAAAATGCTCGCGCGCCGTTTTCCAATCTCCATTCGAAGCTTCGTCTCCCGACGACGTTAAAATCCATTCGCCTCGATGTGGTTTTATGAGAGAGATACGTGCTTTTATCCCTTACGTGGAAATTACGCAGTAATTTCTGATTTTCTTGTAGGAAATCTTGCAGTGAACTCTTGACAGTTGCGTAGAAGTTTGTAGAAGTTTTGTACAAGCAATCGTACAATTTTATTATTTGAACGCTGTGACAACAATCGATTACAAATGATTTCACTTTCGATTTTCTACAAGTGCTTCAAAGCGTCTAACATTCTTGTCCAAATTGACATTGATCTCAGACAGTTTGGACAGATACGTGACTGTACAAATCTATTCATTTTAATTATCATATAAATATTTTGATTACTTCGTATGATTTATACGTAGAATTTTATTTTGATACAGTTGTTCCAGCGTTGATAGATACTTTCCAACTAAACTAAAGTTGGGTTAACCAGCCAAAGTCAAATATACCTATATGTATTACGTCCTAAATGAATAAACTGAAATCTATTTCATTTTAATTGTTCTATATGATTTATACGATATGTGTAGAATATTTTAATATGATAACAGATGCTTTCATTTCTTCATTTATGTTAATATTTTCGTTAACCTAACCTATATGTATCATATTCACGCCGTGAAAGCATGTACATAATTGTACAAATGTACGTAATAGTATAATACGAATGTGTTACGCCCTAACTGAACAAATTAAAATCTATTTTAATTGTTTTGTACAATTTATACGTTATGACGTTATTACGAATATAATTTATATGAATTATAGGATTCATACGTAGAATATTTCTGATACGGTTGTTCCAGATACTGTCATCACTTCATTTAGCATGGATTTGAAGCTGCTGCAGATATGTACGAGGACAGGATGGATGACGAAAGTAAGTGTACATGCATACGTACGACAATCAACGGACGAGTGAGTTACGCGTGATGAACGATTACGGAATTCAAAGGCACACACACGCACGGAATAAGGCTATCGGGAAGAATACAAAGAGACAAAGCTGAGTCACACCTCGGTGCCCTCTCTGTGCCTCTCTGCGTCTAGAACGAAATAGGTTTTTGGAACGCGGGCTTTTTCGGGACACAAAATCGATCGACCCGTTCCACTGGCCTAATTACTGGCCCGACGGTTCTATCGCGGCCGCGTCACGCCGCAGTTCTCGCCCGTGTAAACTCGCCTCTCTCCGTGCCTCTCCGCGCTCAGCGATACGCTCCGTAAGCTCTCTGCTACTGGCAAACGAGGCGAACCGGGGCAGAAATCTTTCGCCCGAGAGATAAGCAAATAATTGACGAAATATGTATGTGTCGCTTGCGAGTATCGAGATAACGGCGCCAAATGCAAGGGAAGATGCAACACTCACGATAGTGTAAGATGCTTGGTTACGAGCAATGTACAATCGGTGAAGTAGTTGAGCAACGTACAGTCGATGGAATAGCTCATCCCCACTCTTTCTTTCGACGCCAATTCCTGGAACACAGTATCCCTCTTAACTGACCAGCTTCGGTCCCGACTGTTGGACAGTTACGAGAGCATTAGTGCAGTTGCAAGAGCGTATTTGAAGTGTCCATCAATTTCGACGAAATTTCGCTGTCACTTCTCTTGCCAGCGGTGTCGTGGAAATGATTTCAGGCCTTGAATTCAATATCCGTCTAATATACACATTTGGAAACCACGTCTCGTTGCTTGCGGTGACACTGACGAATGGTTTATGACGTGGCGATTATTTTTTGGGAGAAAAAAATCTTCACGCTCCTGGTTGTAAACTCTTTAAATTGTCTACACGCGAAGGATGATAGAAAAATAAAAATCTCTGATTTGACGGGCTAACTTTTACCAATAAGTATCGTGTAATTACTAACCGTGGTACGAACATATTGCGTAAATATCGGCAGTAAAACTTGCGGCAACTTAAAGGCTAACGATGAGAGAAACCTGCGACCGTCAAAGTATTAAGGTGAGTCTTCGAAGAAAACTTTCTGACCTTTTTTTATATTCTTGTTTCATCGCCAACCATGTGCATGTAAACTATCCTCAAAATTGAGACTGTGGAAGCTACTTTGGCAAATTACTAGAGAATTACATGATTGATGAAATTAGTATTTTTCAACGACGAATTTAATCGTGTTACAGAGCTGTTTATCAAGAAAAGAGAAAGAAGACTACAATTATTCAATTATCTCTTAATAAATTCGTAAAGAAAACACTAGATACTGATCAATGAAGTGTCATTTGTTTATTTATATGTGATACACTTCGTTAAAAAATAATATTTTATATTTTAATATTTTAAAACACTTTCTGACAGTTTTCTTTTTTTACATTGCTCTACTTTCGTATATTTCAACGCAACCAGAGACGCGTTTTTTTTTTTTCAGAAACCAATTAGATACGAAAGCCGAGGACTGCCGGTACTTAAATCGTTCCTTGCTCGTAAATGTGTAACAGTTTTCTGAAAAGAGCCGGTTTTATTGTCCGATTTTACTGCTCGCTACTGCTCTTTTAAACAAACGCCAAAGACACGATCGATCACTCAATGTAATCTTGTAGAATTTCACGGCGGCTATCTTTGTAAACATTATACAAAGACGGGGGGATTACTTGGCAGACTCGCGTCTAGACAACGTTATTCGCTGCAGCGAGATACTACCGCTTCACGAAGACGGGGACCAATAAATGTCGAGGAGGTTGATTTTGTAGAGCAGCCGGGACAATTCACTCGACCATCGCCGCTAAAAAGTTTCCCGTTGCGCGACAAACGGTTCGTTGTGTTATTAACTTAATTTGCAACAGTATCGCAACAGCTACTCGCCCATAGTGGCGCGAAACACCTTGTTTAACCCCCTTGACGTACGAATTGAATTAAACGAAATTCGATACGACCGAAAAAAAACGACGTTTATTTTTCATCTTAGCATTTACACTCTGTTTATTTTTCATTTTAACACTTCGAAGGTAACTTTCGTACTGTTGTATTCGTACCGCAAAATGTCACAACTTGGCGGACAAAATTAATGAAGAATGATCAAAGGACAAATGAATGATTCAGTAGTCGTTTAGTTTCCATTTTAACATTTCAACGATAATTTTACTCTCCATTTTATATAATCAACTTTTTCATTGAGTATTTATTAATATTTTCATTATATCAACATGACTAGAAATACAAATAATTGAATATCCTTATGCAAATTTAAATAATTTATTTACTATTTTATATTTTAATTATTATATTTTCTCATTCATAATAAATAATTTATTTGACTATATTGTAAATTAATATTATAATTAATGAACTTGATAAAGTATATAATTTGAATTCATATTATAGAAATAAAATTTTCTATTAATTTTTTAATTAAATATAAATGAATTAAATAAACATAAATTAAAATTAATAATTTTATTTAAAGATGTATATATATTAAATTTGAGTTAAGAATCATAAATTATTACTAATAAAAATAAATTTATTATTAAAAATAAATTAAATAATATAATTTCAATAATTAAAATTATAAAATATATTATTAATAAAATTTGTACGGCAAGATGTCATAACTTGCGGACAAAATTAATGAAGAATGATCAAAGGACAAATTGAATGATTCAATAGTCTTTGGGAAACGACTATGTCAAGGGATTAACTGCCAAATGTATTTCTGTGCAGTTTCACACACATGACAAATACTTTTCTTCCTTCTCTGTTTTCACTTTCGTTTACATCGTTCGATTTTCCTTCTTTTCTTTTTTTTTTTAATGTATCATTGTGCACCATTTATCGCTGAAAGTGAATCTTTCGTTCACATACGTCCACTCGCGGTTACTCGTTTTAGTCTCGAAAACGCGAGGCAGGTTACGCAACGCGACTCGGTTTTTCAAGGACCGAATGATTAGCTGTAACAGCAGAACCACGGTAGAAAGGAATGGCGGCGAGGGGGGGAATTTCAAGATGTCAAATCTCAACGGGTCGCTCCTTCCTTTTGGGATTTCCCTGAAAAGGAGGGGAAGACAAGAACTGGTCCGATTGACTCAACGAAATGCGATCATCGACGAACGCGAACACGTTTGCACGTTAGTGCAAGCACGTGCACTGGCGAGTGAACGTGGAGGAAACGATGGAAGAAGACACACAGGCGTTAAAGAAAGAGAGAGAGAGAGAGGAAAAAGAGCACATATTTCCATTGTTACAGGGTCCCATTCGTTTGGCAGGTTTGCGCAGGAGGGTGTGCGCAGGCGCACGCGCGTTTGCACGTAGGCCCACCTACCTATTTACTTACCTACCTGCATCCTCTCTAGTTTGAGAGCCTGCTCCTTGCCAGCCTCCTAGCTGCTCTCTGGTTGCGTCTGTTGGCCTGCCTGCCTGCCTACCGGTTTGCCTTGATCCCTTGAACAGCCAGGAGGTGGGCTGGTAGATAGGTATGGCTTTCTTACGTAAGCGTTCCACTAAGAGAGCGGGAGAGTTATATAGCGGCAGGGTCGATCGCTAGAGTCCCATCGGTCCATCGATTCCTTTTCAAACGGAAGTTCCAGACGCCAGACTTTCAAATATCACGAAGATCATTATTCATCCTCCGTGAAAGTCAATGAAAGTTTCAAAAAAGAAAGAAAAAAAAAAAGAAAATAATGCGCGGCTCGATCGATCTCCGATTGCCTCGTCTAACTTTCCTAGGAGAGAGGGGGGGAGGGAGTTGGAATTCGGGTCATATAGCCACTGCGTGACGATCGATCGGCCACACAGCTCTCGACGACGAAACGTAACGATGCAGGGAGGTTATTTATTGATCTAGTGTGCGGCGTACGACGATGAGACGCGAGGCTCGCGCGAACACACGATTCATCGCCGCGTACGTACTGTCAAGGCCGCGAACTTCCTCGCTTCCTCGTTCTTCGTGCTCCACTCGATTCGACGAAGCTCCTGCCTTGCTCGAGCTTCCTGGCTGGCGGCAACTCGCCCGCACGAACCCGCGAGAGGAGGGAGACGGGAGCAGAGGGACGCGGAGAGATCGAACGAAAGCTATGTATGTATGTATGTATGTATGTATGTACGTTCGCCTGTATATAAAGGATAAAGGAGCGTTCCATCACGGTGGACGGTGGCGCGGTCCT